AGTCGTATAATGAATCTCTTATTTACCAAGCTTGCTCGGGACCGTACTGGAAGAATATCGGCCCTCGGTCTTTTTTGTACGGACCTCGCTGCACACGGTCCGTGCTGTCAAGACCTCGGGCCGATATTCTCCCAGTACGGCCCTCGCGCTTGGTTAATAAGATATATTTACTGTTGTAGAGTTTTGTACTAATATCATTTAAAAGTCATTCATTACTTAAGAAGGGGCCCTTCTTTAAAGCAACCTTTTATGAACTCATTACTAATAGCATGCCCACTACACCTTTATAACTTTTTTCGGTCACGATGGTCGTGTACTGAAAGAAACCGCAAATATTTGATGTCACACAGTACCAAGACGTTCTATTATCCACCCAGTACTCCTTGCCATTAGAGATTTTTCAACGAGGTCCTTTGCGGTTTAGATTAGGGATCATTTGCTTAGCTCAATTCTAGAGGGTTTCAATGGGGCTCACCGTTTAATTAAAATTAAGCCATTTGATGTACAAATTAACAGATTTTAATAGGTCGTACAAAAAAATTAACCAAAATTTTTCTTCTTTTAATCAGAACAGAAATAAATTAACCGTTGGCAGTAAAATGGCCAAAATTTTATCCGTTCGCCGAAAAAAACTATCACCCCATTGAGAGCCTCTTTGCAGTCCCGTGCAAAGGATTAATTAAATCATCGTTGACAAGACTTCATGCACAGAAAATTGCGTAGCATTTGGTCAAAAATTCCGAAAGTTGTAGGATTGTTAAACAAAATCTCCATTAGAGCAATACATTTAAGAAATACAAATTAACCATCAAAGCAACCTAACTACAAAGTCAGCAAAATCAATTTTTCACTCACCAGCCTGAATTCGTATCGCGTTTGGGAATCAAAGAGTAGCTAACTCCAAAGCCATTGACGTCCCTTTTCAGGGTTAGATGTATATTGTTTCCAAACACATTTTACGTTCTAAGTTCATAAAAGTTGCTCGAGGTGTAGCCGAGAGCAATTCAAGCGCTCTTAACACTTCCCAAGTGTTATCTTATCTTGATGAATGCACAGCTAACATATGAACCAACCGTTCAATGTAGGTTTAAAAGAAGCACTTTTTTCCACAGGCGTTTTAAATTTTACAAGGCGTTTTAAATTTCTCGTGCGTCAAAATTTTATCAGAAACATAGTGCTATAATGAAAAAAGAACAGTTAAATAACTTATTACCAGGGTGACAAATCGGAAAGTTTTACTCAGAACGTTATCATCACAAAATGTAATTTCTGGTGTTCGAATCAAATGAATTAGCCGGAAATGAAATATTTCTGCAGCATGAGAGCAGTGGGGACTGGGCCTCTTCAGTGCATCATGGGACATGATGACAGCTATAGAGCAGAGGTGGGTCAAGTGGCAGTTCACTCTAGGCCGACATCAATACTGAGCAATTTTTTCTACTATGGTCTAAGAAATAGTTCACACTTATCGTTTCGATTCAGTCTTAGCAGCGTGGCCTTCGTGGGATGGGCATTCAGAGCTTAAAGGCTGATAGTTTCGAAAGAAACTGTTTAGGGCTGCGTCGGTGGGAGTAACGAAATAATTTGGATATATCAACAAACAGGCAGAAACAGAAACAGACAGAAACAGGCAGAAACAGGCAGAAACAGGCAGAAACAGGCAGAAGACAGGCGGAAAGCCGTAAAAATCTTGAACAAAAGCTCATCTTTCAAACCAGCAGTCTAAATCTCACAGGGATCAACGAACGCTTTTCATTCCACTAATTTATTCATGTTTTTCTCGTTGCCATGCTCCCACCAATAACGTAGCTCCATTTTCTGCCTTTAAAAGCACACACAACCCACAATTCCTTTATTCGCTCCGACGAAGGGCTAACGCTCGAAACGTCAGCTTTTGTAATCATTACGGTGGCCAATTTACCATTTCAACTTTGTTGATATATCCAAATTATTCAGCCAACACAGATTTCGTGCCTAATTTTTCCCTATCGGGATTTTTCTCCGTCGCTTTTGAGGGTTAAACGTATATTGTTAATAATAATAATAATAATAATAATAATAATAATAATAATAATAATAACAATATCATTTAAATAGCGCCTTATACAAAAGTTTTAAAGCGCTTCACAGAGGAAATAGACAATAGAATAATAAAACCTACAATACATTCAAAGAGATTAGTTTTTAGAGATGACTTAAAAGTATCGACACTGAGACTACGCCGAATATGGCTGGGAAGGCAGTTCCATAACTTGGTGGCACATATAGAAAAAGCTCCGCCTCCATAAGTTTTCGGATTTGAAGGAGAAACTTGAAGCTGAAATTTTGATGAAGACCTTAACAACCTATGAGGGGGTGTATAAGTGCAGAAAATTACTAATGTAACCAGGAGCTAAGTTATTAAGAGCTTTAAATGTTATTAAAAGTAATTTACAAGTGATACGGTGTTCGACTGGCAGTCAATGAAGCTCCCTTAGTAATGGCGTGATGTCGTCGTACTTGCGGTTAACTAAAATCAAGCGAGCTGTGCAGTTCTGAACAAGCTGTAATTTGTGTAGAAGGCCGCGAGGAAGACCATATTGTAATGAATTACAATTGTCGAGTCTTGAGGTAATGTTTCTAAACATTTTTTTATGTTCAAAGTTCATGAAAGTTGCTCGAGGTGTAGCCGAGAGCAATTCAAGCTTCTAAAGCGCTCTTAACACATCCCAAGTGTTGTCTTATCTTGAGGAACGCACAGCTAACATACAAAGCGGTTTTTTTCTCGTGCGTCAAAATTTTACCAGAAACATAGTGCTCTAATGAAACAAGAACAGTTAAATAACTTATTACCAGGTGACAAATCGGAAAGTTTTACTGTTAACTGTCACTTAGCTCTGCAATTTTTAGGTATCGTAATGTAATCGCGTGTGATCATGACTGTGCGGCGCTCAGCCAACCTGATGGTTTTCTATTCATGCTGTGCACTGCCTGGTGGAGCTGAAATTCAAGGTTTAAGATATAAATCGGAGAGCATGCTTGGAAATGAAAAGTATCGTTGACTTAATGGCTAACTTCGTCGAACCGATTACTTTACAACATTTTCAAAATCTGTGAACGCCGAGAAACACACTGCGTACTAAATCCTTAGAAATCGTTCTTTTTTCTCACAAACCAACTAGAGCTCTAATGAAACATGAAAAGTTTAATAGCATATTACCAGGGTAACAACACGCAAGGTTTTGCTTAGAACGTCTTCATCACATATCAAGATTTAGATATGAATCGCGGAATATGCTTTGAAGTTCTGAAAATTTTAAAAGATTAAAAGATTTTAAAAGCAAAATTAGCCATCGAGAAGTATTTCTAGGACATAAACCCACTAAAAAGTAATATTATCAGTCTAATACAATGGTCCAAACGTAGCAAAGCCCAACATGAAGTCCAAAACTTCAGTTATTATTTTCCAGCCATAAATCGTATTGCGTTTGCAAATCGAAGCACCATTAACTCTACAACTAATTTCGTCGCTTTCAATCAATAAATGCCCATTATTTTCCTAATGGGGGCGTAGTCGAGGACAATTCAAACTTCCCAGGAGCTTTTGGCACTTTCCAAGTGCTTCCTATCTTGATAAACGTACAACTAACGTATGAACAAATCGTTCAATGACAGGTTAAACGAAGTATTTTGAAAGTCGTTTTCTCACAAATCAAAATTTGTACGGGAAAAAATACACATTACGCAGCAAATCTTTACAATTCATTTTTTGCTCGCAAATCAAGCTCTAATAGAACAAGAACAGTTTAATAACTTATTACCAGGGTAACAAAACGGAAAGTTTTGCTCCGAACGTTTTCATCGCGTAACAAGTTTAAGATGTAAATTGCAGAGCATGCTTGTAAATTCTGAAAATTTTTAGATTTTTCATGCAAGACAAAATCAAACGTAACAAAAACCTCGCATGAAGTCGAAAAGTTGTTTTCATTTTCCAGCCGTAATACGTATCGTGTTTGGGAATCAAAGTACCTTTGGAGTTCACATTGCACTCTCAAGCTAATATTCAATAATAATAATAAAAAAAATTGTCCACTCTTTTCCTTATCGAATTTATCTATACGGTCTATCTCAATCGGGAACATACGGAGAAAAATATCTCGAAAACTTTGAAACTCGAATAAAGATTAGACATGGGAAAAGCACGCTTTGGAATAATAAATAGTTAACGCTCCTCGTGATTGAGAGTACCTGAATTAAAGTTTACGTGAAATGAGAGAGAGAACAAAAAAGAAAAACACTCGTTGAACCCAAGTGCCGAAAATGAAGTAAGAAGCTTCATGCAAAGGCGAAAACAAAGCACTCGAAATTGAAAACGAATCAGCCTACCGAGAAATATTCATAATGTATTAATTTCGTCGCAATCCGCCTTCCACATTGCTCATTTTCTGACATATCTTTTTAAAATCGAAACAGCTTGCTTCTAAGTAAGGTAAACCTACTGAATGGCATCTTATTGCCCCTTCGAGATTCTTCATTTGTAGTTGTAATTTGATCTACAAAGCTCAAATGTTGTTTATGTTGGGACGTAGTAATAAGAAATGAGTGACTACCTAGGAATCTTCACTGAACAACGCGTCAAATAATTATCGCCTGCCGACAGATTATCTCTACGAGCTGTAAAACTACAAGAAATTAGCTTTCTGGCGCCATTTCTGTGCGCTGCTCGACTTCGCGATATTCTGTAAGGACATACTGTAACGTGTAATTCCAAATCAAAAAATCGTACAGTTACGAAATCGCGCAGTAGATTCCAACCCAAATCCTGAGTAAAACCTCAATACCTTTGAACTGAATACCGTAACCTTTGCACATGAGTTTGAGCGTCCCACAGTGTACTGGGTGAACCCCATCAAATGTTTGCAAATCTCGACGAGATTCAAGATTTGTGACGAGTGAACAGAAATAGCGCGTAACGCCATATCGCTCGCAAATGAATCAACACTACTATGGTAATTCTTTACCTTTCTGTCGTCGTTTTCATGTCTCTTGGCATCTCCGCTCTCGTTAACACTCTCCTTTTCGTCCATGCAGTTTAATGACTTGCTCGTTCACTATACGAGTGCTACAATCGACGTGAACTCGGATAAACTGCGGTTTGCTTCTCTAATTAATCTCGTCAAACATTAACCTACAACTTTAATTGTACTCTCTTGAAAACAATGAATTCACGGAGCAAGGCAACCAACGACTTGAAAAGCGTCAAAACACGTGTTGACACGACGAATTAGCAGTCCCTTCCGAGACCAAACAAAATTAATGCTACTTCCCTCGCGGCCAACCCAGAACGTTGGGGACCAGTACAATTTTCTTAATCAGTTAGTTCCAGGCTCTCGATGAGAGATAGGTGGTAGATAGATAGATTGATAGATAGATAGGCAGGGGTCGCACTGTGGCCTTATTTTTTTTATGTCGCGTCATAAGTTGTCCTACAACTATGTCGCGACATTTACACCACGGGAGTCATGGAGGTCGCACTTGTGCGACATGAAGGATATTTGAAACCACACTGTCAACTCTTAATATTTCACGCGCGAAAAGAGCACCAAATAAAACTTTGTAGACATGAAGCTGGTGCTAGTTTTATTAGCGACATTTCTTCATTCTCTGTTTAATTTGTTCAATGTACAAAACCTTATTGATTTGTACGCATTGTACAACACTCGCCAACGGCAAATGTTGGCTCTTGCCGCTTTGAACCGACGTCGACGGATGCGCAAAAATGGGAAAATATCTGCGAGCCAAAGGGTGAAAAGAAGCCATTCCCATACTGAGAATAATCAGGTGAATAGTGCAAATTTGTAAATTGGTATGAGTTGAAATTCGCCATAGGGACCAGATAAAACGTATGTCGAGAAAACCTGTGACTAAAATATTGAACCGATAGCTGGCTGTGCACACGTGTTGTCTTTGCAGAATTGCGAAAATTTTTGCTAGTACTTCAGATTTGTTCGACGTTGCGACAGAAGAAAAACAAAAATTGTTATTTTAAGGCCATAAGACGAGATATGGCCTGCCTCGAGGCAGGACATCGGCTTTTCTGATCTTTAGGTCCTTCGGACATAATAGTTATGTCTGGTTGCGACAAAAGGGTCGCACTTGTCGCTAGCAGGCGATGACAGATTATATGTCCAATGGAAACACCAAAAGCGTAAGTGCGACCCCTGCCATGGATAGATAGATAGATAGATAGATAGTTTATTACCAAATAAAATACATTGCAGCCATTGGCTGAATTGCGTGCTTTTCACAATCATTGATTATATAAGACTATATAAGACTACCAATTACAAAAATGCTAAGACCTAGATAAAATTAATAATATAACTAATATACAGCAGTGGAATAGCTAAAAATCTAGGTTAGCACACGCGCACATAGCCGGGATAAATGAAGATTTAAAACAATCAGTGCGAAAGCGCGGCATGTTAAAAACGCGCAGGTGTCTAGTATTGTAAGCTGAAAGATGCCTATCTGGCGGCAAATTATATAATTTGTGAGATGCATTTGAGACAGACAATAACAGATCCGTACATAATTTCATGCGTCTGTCATAGAGCGAAGCTAAACCGTGCCTTTCTAAAGAGTCATGGTATGACAGTTCTGGTGAAATGATGGATAATACGCGTCTTTGGACCCTTTCAATGTCAGCACTAAGATACGCAGGTAACATACGATGGAATATTTGTGCGCGGTATTCCAGAACAGGAAGTATAGTTGTACAATAGAAATTAATTATGTCATCCGCTGGAACGCGGGCTCTCTTCAGAAGGACTAAAAAGTATAATCGTTTGTTTGCTCTTTTTATAATGTCATCGACGTGGTTGTTCAACTTAAGGTTACACGAAATAGTCACGCCTAGGATCCTAGCCGACTCTAATTCTTTGCCATCTACCAAGAGGGGAGTGAAATGGTGTTTCTGCCTTTTGCAGTCGATGACCATAACTTTGCACTTGTCAGCGTTAAGCTGCATCTTCTTTGCTTTGGACCAATCCTCCACCACTTTAACAGCGATTTGGTAAACTAGCGAAAGCGAAAAAGAGAACACTGCAAGGGAAACGGTTGCTTTTACTTCTTTTTAAAAGGGCTACGTTTCTTTGAACCTTAAATGCATGACAAGACATAATCAAGCAAGCTTTGTCTTTAAAGTCGTCTCAGTCGTTGAGCAACTAACATAAATTCCTTCATAAGTGTCGTATTTGTCTAGCTTCGATGATGAAGAAAACTAATGGGGTTCCGTGGAGCAAAAGGAGGGTCGCGAAAATAAGATCACCACAATGAAAAACGTAAAGCAAACGGGCTTCAAAACTGGAGCAAAATTTCATCATTGCACTTATTTAGACAAGCTTGTCGAATCAAGATTTTAAAGAGTTTAATATTTGTTTAACAAAGGCGCACGCATCTCTCAAAGAGAGGGACGAAATTATTGGAAGGAGGAGGGGGGGGGTGTGGGAAGGGCTACAAAAAACCACAAACACTGGGAAAAACACCACCGACACGCATTTCGACTAAATCTTTCTTTTTTTGTATACAAAAGCATAATCACTAACATAGAAGTTTTTATCTGTTTGCTTGATGGCATCCGTGCTTCAAAAAACAGGAATTGAGATCAAGCTATCTTTAAATACAATATAACAAAATTAATATACTGCTCACAGGAACAATGTACATGACATCGCAACAAACAAAAGATTTCTACAGCGGCTATTAAGACATACAAAGAGCAGTTAGTTAAGTGACTTGGATCTTGAATGAGCTAACCAAAAAATTCCATGTGTATTGCATATGACTCGTTTTTTTTTTTTATACAAAAGCAAAAGCAAACAATTTTCATGAACATCGCGTAGCGCCTAAACTTCTCCAAAAACTACCGATTTCTGCTTGCAGCTTGTACAGAAATCAATCTCCGTCGAAAGATTGCCGTTTTCTTTCCAGTCCTAGAAAGCGTAACGTGTTCTTAAATCTTCAAGCTTCTTGGACACCTAAGTAAAGAAATACATGTTTATTTGTTAAACAGCGGGGTCATTTTCACCACAAAATCAATAGCTGTGTCCAGTAGTCAAATTTTAAGTCTCCTATAAAAGCCAAGAATTTAATATACACTTGTGTCTTTTCTGACAGAATTTCATTTAAATATCACTTTGAAAATACCTCGGCTGGTGTACGATCGAGTTCTTCGGCGATGTTGCGTCGTTTCGAAGAATCCAAAGAATTAAAGAATTCACAGAGATCTCCGTCAATCACGCTCTGTTATAAAAATAATAGTAGACGCGTACATTTGTATAAGATAATCCAAAATAAACAAATCTCACTTCATAGCCACATGCAAATGTTCTAACTTTTCTGACACCGGAAACGCAAGTAAGAAAAACATTGAATAGAATGACTGCATTAGAAAGAGACAATTTCAACTGAGTTTCCTATGTAATTGGAGAATGATCGTTTCTACTTTGTTACGCTTTTTGCTCAGTTTAGAGAATTAGCCCTACCTTCCTTCCCCCTCCCAGAAAAAAGAAAAATGTGCAATTTACATCAAGAGTGTGTTGATAACTCGCATTTTCCCACGCTTGATGTATGTTCAGTTTGTTTTCTTTTATTTATCTATCGTTTACTGTAGGTTTGGGTTTACGACATTTAATTGAAAAGCGCTCATTTTACTTTAATCGTAGTACGATTGGAATGTTTATATGACTTCGACACCGTCGAAAGCGAAGATTGTTATAAACGGCCACTAACTTTGACTGGCAAGTAGTAAGATCTGTAAGACAGATGATCACGGCCACACAGGGACGGTTGCTCAGCCCGCAAGTGCATCTCAAGGTGCTGGAAAAAGTCAATGTCCTGAGAAAAAAATTTACTAAATTTTAAAAAATACGCACCTATTATGAATTTTGTATCATTTACTATAAGGTGTATATGGCAAAAGTCACAACGACACTGTTTTGACCGAAGCCTGTTTGCTTGCTTTTTATTATATTGTCTGTCAGTCTGTTCGTCTGCCTGAGTGTTTGAAAATCTAGAACAGTTACAACACAAGTGGTTCTAAGACAGATCACCGGGTCCGCAAAAAACAAAATTCCAGAGACATTTTTGGGCTATGACATTTGCTACTGCTTTGCACTCGCAATAAAGTTAGAAAGGATGCTATTAGATGCAATTAGACATGGCTCTCGTCGAGCGGATGCGGCGAAATAAAGTATCTCTCTCTCTCTCT